CTCCTGGCTGCAGGCTCGTCCCCTCCAGCCCTCCTGGGCCGCCTCCATGTGGCCCGAGTCCCCTCGCTCCTGGAGGACTCTTAACAGCTCCCTCCCCCTGCCAACTCATCCTCCACGCCAGCCCCCAGAGCCGTTTTCTGAAAACAGAAATCTAATCAGATTTTTCAACTGACTAAACATCTTGGAAGCCTCACTACCTCTGGTGGTGAGCATGTCCCAGGTGGCCAACCTGCTTCCTACAGAAGAATCGACCTCTTCAGGCCAAATGAAGGAGGCACCCTGAGGTCGGGGTTGCTGCACTCCAGGGAGGCCTGTCCCCTCCTCGCGACTCCCCAGGGTGTCTGTTTCTGGGGCCTTGCGCCCACCGCAGCTGCCCACACCGGCTGAGGCGGAGGGGCGCCCACAGGGTGGGGTCCTAGCCACACTGCGCTCACTGCTCCGTGCAGTTCTGTGCAAACATTTAGTTACCTACTGAAGGCCAGGGCACACGGGCCGAAGAGCAAAACCTTTTCCTAGACAGACAAATCTGGGTTCAAAATCCTGGCTCTGCCTCCTACTAAATAAATCCTCGTGAGGAAATCACTTCAGGGCTCGAACGCTGGTCTCCTCACTACTACAAGGGAAAGGTAATGCTACCTTGCTTACGTCTAAGCACGGAGACCCTCACCCCATGCACGTTCACCCTTTATCACGGGTTTGCTCAGCTTGCCTGGAACCCCTTCATCTCCCATCCGAGGCAACCAGACGTTTCCCCGAGGTTCATCTGGGACACACGGCTAAACCCGCAACCCGCACTTCCCGTTTGCTCCGAAGCCGTGCACCATTGACTGAGCTCCCCTGCTGCCCTGCGCCCCCTCTCACAAGGGACTTACCTTGGAAACCGGCCCCAGCTTTTTACTGGACCTCAGATGAGTTATGCGACCGGCCGTGAGGATGATGACAAAAGCATGAATTTCCTCATCAAAGCCCAAGAACACCAGGCCGCCCGAACAGGCCTGCGGCGGCGCCCGGTGTACGGAGGATGGCCCCCGGTGTGCGGAGGACAGCCCCCCATCAGGCCCGCGCGGCGAGCCGGACCAGACCCTGGCCGTGGGCTGGCAGCTCTGACTGAAACTACCAGGAAGGCCAGGGATTAAATACTGGTCCGGGTCACCGTCAACCAGTGGAATTATAAACACCTGGGAGCAGTAAGTGGTGCAGGAAGCCGTCTCCGGACACAGATTTAGGATTTTCCACCAGGGCCCAGGGGACAGGGTGTGGGGGAGGCGGGCTGTGGCAGAGCTTGCTGCCCTCCCGGGCCGGTGGTTCCTGGAAGACAAGGGCCTGTATCCAGGCAGAACAATGGGTTCTGCCCCAGTGAGCACCAGCCTTGGCTCCAAGAGGGGTGGGGATGGCCCCGCCTGGGGGGCCAGCGACGGGGACCCCCAAGATCCCTGGGGCATCCAGGCTGCTCTGACTCGGCAGAGGCTTTGCATGGAGAGTCTAAGGCTCTGATGTGTACCCAGGCATGCTGACGAAACACCTGCTCTGCACTCTTTCAAGTGCATGCCACGCTTTCGTGACTGGGCTACAGACCCACTTGAGTCACTAAATTCATCCTTTTCACCATCTATTCTTTCCATCAAATACAGGTATTAAAAGTATTCTGAGTTTTTATCTCATTTAAAAAGATATGGGTGGCTCAGTCAATTAAGCGTCTGCCTTCGGCTCAGGTCATGATCCCGGGGTCCTGGGATCGATCCCCCATCGGGCACCCTGCTCAGCAGGGAGCCTGCTTCTCCCTCTGCTCCTACCCCCGCTTGTCCGCTCTCTGACAAATAAATAAGATCTTAAAAATAAAAATAAAAACATATCTGCTATCAAAAGGAACCCCCGTGAAGTCAGGCACTGCTGGCCGGGGGAGGGCTCCCCCTAGAAGACGTTCTCCAGGATGCCGCTCTGCGGCCAAGGCAGGCTTCAAGGACACCCTGGGCCTGTGCTTTCTCCTCCCTTCACAGAGACACCCCGATGCCTGGCACTGACCAGGCGAAAGCCATCCCTTGGGATGGGGCTGTCGGGGGTCCTAGATGCAGATGCTTCAAGTGGCAGGTAAGACGAGTCTGCTCTGGGGGAAGCAGCTCCCAGCTCACCTGAGGGGACACCTTGGACACGCGCTACTAAGTACATGTAAGCAAAAGACCGGTGAGAGGCACGTGGGAGCGGGGACATCCTGACTTGCAAGAAATATACATATTCGTTCAGATGACCAAAACACATTTGTCACATATACTGGTCTTGGTCCACAGTTCCCAGCTCATGGCTCCCCAAAGCCTTGGACTCTCCTGCGCTACAACAGGACCATCTTTTGTTGTAATATTTGGCCTCCTGTCCTCAGTTCCTGAAGTCACTTCAGAGCCACCCAGGTGCCCTGGGGGTCTTGTTACTTATAACGAGCCCCTTCCCACAACAACTGGGCTCATGTTAACGGGGTGATTTTAGAAAGCACTTCAAAATGGGGGCTGGTGGTACAGGGAACTTTCAGTCCTCCCGATTTCCAGGCAGGGGAGAAGGGGGCTTCAAAGAATGCTTCCAAGTGCCACCACGCTGGGCCCCAAGCTCAACTCCGTGAGGACAGCAGCTCACATATCCCTTCATAGAGCTGTTAATCTGTATCCTTTGATATCTTCTGTCATACAGCAGCAATCTAATGAGTCCGTGGGTTTCCTGAGTTTCTGTGAGCCACTCCAGTAAAGTAATCGAACCCCAGGAGGATTCGCAGCTGGTCAGTGAGAAGCATAGGGGACACCCAGGACTTGCAACTGGTATCTGAAGAGGTCTGTGGGGGGAGGGTTGGGGAGCAGTCTTGTGGGACTGAGCCCTTCCCCTGTGGGATCTGATGCCATCTTCAGGTGGACAGTGTTGGAGGAATCTCAACTATAGGACACCCCATTAGTGCCTGGAGGACTGCTATGGGTGGTAGGAGGGGTGGAATGGGGTGCAGAACCAAGAGAGGAGCACCTGCCAATTGTCAATGTGCACAGAAATTACCTGGAAAATGTTGTTACATTTAGATCCCAATTTGGGGGGGGGGAGGGGGTTAGGGTAGGGCCAAAGATCTCTGCATGTACAGGACTGGGCTGCAGGCGGGGCAAGGCAGACGCCCTTGAGCTGTCAAGGAAGAAGGCTGGCAGACGTGGCTTGCCTGAGGGGCGGTTTGTGGCCAGGTGTGGGAAATAGAGCACAGCCAGCCCCGCCCCCCCCTCCCCCCGCCCCCGCACAAGATGGGCCTGAGCTACGGCGATGGGGAGCACCCTGGTGAGGGTGAGGAGAAAGCAGCTGCGGCCACGCCTGCAGCCCCCTGGTCCTACGGAGGCAAGGAGCCGGATGGAAGGGGCAGGCAGGTGTTCAAGCACAGACCACTCTAAGGGCATTTCTTTGAAAATGTGAAGCCCTACCCAGATGGTGGATTTATAGCTGGCTCAACAAGGTCCCCCTAAAAGAAAAAGTAGCCTAAGAAAGATGATTATCAGACTGATGCCTCCACCTGAGGAAGTCTCTGGTAGCCCTGCTGGAGGGCTCTGCATTTGGCCTTGAGCTAACATGAAGCCACAGAGTCATCTCAGTTAATGTGCAAGGAACCAAACCAACAGGAATGGCTAATACCTGGACAAATGAAACCAAGAGTCAACACAACCGTCAAGGGGAGAATGGATGAAAGTCAAACTGTGGGGACAAACGGAAAATCTCACCTTAGAGAAAACTGACCACATGAGAAATGAGAAATCCCTGGCCCCCCCAGGGGCTCACGTGAAAGACAGGGGGTGGGGGTGCCCGCCAAAGCAATCCTGGGCACGCTGGAGGAGAGCTCTTCCTCGGGACCGTTCATGGAGGCTGATGGAGAGGGAACGGGCGAGCCCCCTAGTTCTGCCCAAGTAGGGCGGCAGGGGTCCTGTCATGTTGGAAGGTGACCTCTCAACTCTCCCAGTGTCAAGATCCTGTGACTAAAGCAGCTTCTTCATGAGGGGACCGAGTGTGAGGAGTTTGAAAAGCGCCCTGCTCGAACCTACACCGAAGGAGTCCGGTGAGCATCACTCAGCTCCATCCAGGGAGCGCTGCTGTGTGGGGCCAGCACTTGGCCAGACGGCAGGCTCCACCCCGTGCTCGCTGCTTACCAGTCGTCATGGGGCATGTGCACAGAAGGCCCGCAAACCTGCTTAGATGCTTAAAGTAGGCACATCCTCTTCTGGGTTCTCAGCTTTTATTTCAGCCTGGTCTCTCCTTTCTGGAGGCGCTGGCTCTTGTCCCACAGCAGCCTGCTTGCCCACCCTCTGGCTCTGCGTCACGCCACGTACTACCCGCCCCCACTTACAAGATAACGCCCGTCAGTTCCCTGCACAAAGCACCTCTCCACCGGCGCCCAGGGCCTGCTGCCTGCCCACAGCATCCCTCCCCCTCCTGTGAAAAGCAGCCAGATTTTACTACAGGGAACTGACCCCTTTTCCATCGATACCACCCCCGGCAGTCATACGACCCACACTCCGGCCAGACTGCTTCATGCCCCTCGGCCTCAGGAAGTGATTCTACAGTGGACACAAATAACCAAGGCCAGGGAGACATTTCTGGGGTTAGGGCAGACCAGAAGCCTTAAGCCAGAGGCCGCCAGGAGCTCCGCTGTGGAGCTCCCCCAGTCCTGGCGTCCTAGGCCCAGTCACACCACAGGAAGCCTGAACCTCTCAGGTACGTGAACTGCCTTTTCATTTTTGCTTAATGACAGGGTCTTACTTCTGTCACCTGCAACCAAGGGTCCTCATGGGGGATCTAAGTCACAACAGCGACATTCATTCATTCTGAATGTTATCAGGAGTATGTCCTAACCGTCCCAGGAGCATTTTAAATGTAAATACCTTGACCCAAAGATAAAAGCTCTCAAGACCGAATCTCTGAATCTCTGGTGGGGAGATCCTGTCAGACACAGAGGCTGCCCCAGGACCTCTCTCTGGGGTTGGCAAAGGTGACCCCACCTGTCTGGTCAGGCTGCCTCCGAGGTTCATGGTGCCAGAGCCAGATTTGTTGGTCTGCAGCCAGAGCATCACGGTGGAGGTCAGCTTGTAATGGGCGGTGCGACCACTGGATTTCTCCTGCGGGATGAGACAGAGGGCAGAACCCCAGGTGTGACCCTGAGCTGGGATCATTCTCACATGTCCCTTCCTTGGATGTGGGGCCACGGCAGGACCTTACAAAACCCCGGCTGGTCTCTAAAGGGACCGAATCTGCAATCACAGGATCTGTATCATCGTGACCACTGCAATCCTGACTTATCTTTATCTAACTGGTTCTGGAGCATTTTTAGGAGTGACTGGGGGTTTACATATCACAGCATTCCCCCACCCCCCTTCAAGAAACATCTGCCAGGGAGGTGTACCTGCACTTCCACCACGTGGATGGAATCCCAGCAGCCCTTGATCTTCTTTGATCCATCTCCAGCCTTCTTTATGAGGATCACTCCAGCAAAGCCATGATCCAGATCCCAGAGGTAGACAGAGGAGACGCCGCCTTCAAAATACCTGCCGGAAACAGGCCCACGTACCCATGAGATGTTAAGCCGGTCAGATTACAGATCAACAGCCCAGGGGTTCATTCGGCAAAGCTTCATCTGAATGTCTGTCTGGAATGAAGGACCCTCCCTCCCTGCGATGGTTCTAGGGTTGACTCCTGCCCGTGGCCTGAGCACCTGCTGGTTGGGGAAGGGGTCCCAGAAAGATCACGGGCTCAGGAGTCCTAAAGATGCACTGGAGTCTGAGCTCTGCCACTGACTCTCGCCCTGTGGTCTTTGGCAAGCTTCCAGAGGAAGGACCCAGCAAAGTGTGTGACATGGAATGGACGCTCAATGGGGGTCATTACTACTGAGCAGTCGTCACTGTTCCACACACCTATCTTCCGGGATGGCTATTTCACAGGGGGGATAAAGGGAAAAAAACCAGAGTAGCACACTCCTCCGTGCCAAGATCCCCCCGAGCCCGGGCCACCTGGGCTTCTGTTGGTCTTTTGGAGCAACTCTCTGCCACCCTCTAGCTGGAAACGAAGAGCTGAGCTTAGGGCAGAGCTCCCTACTCAGGTCTGAGTCGATATGGAAAAATTCCTAACTAGGAACAAATAGAAGAAAAGGCCAGAGGAGAAAAGGAAATCAGGCCAGGGTCCCAAATCCAAGAGACCCAAGGCGACAGCGTGGCAGGGCCGGGCTGCCGGGGGCACAGGCGGGTCACCAGCTGCCATGTAGGACCTCAAACTCTGCCGACGACCAACTGGAACGCTGGAAAACATGCGTCTCTGCAGCCTAGCACGTTCTTTACCAGCGCGCTGCTGAAGCACATTCTTCACCACCAAGTCTGTGGCCTCTCTGACCCCAATTAACCTCGGCATCCACGGTGTGGCAGGCACACTCTGGGCCCCGCCGGGAGGGCCGGTGTCGTGTGCGAGCATGGGCTCAGACGCAGAGGAGCAGGGCTGGCTGTACACGTGTGGTGGTGAGCATGGGCTCGGGGGGTGCACGGGCCCCAGCCCCCACCTCCAGCCGTGGCCGCACGTTCCCCACCCACCAACTCTTTACATGATAAAAATATACATGGTTAACGCTAATATTTAGAGAATGTGGGTGAAGGGTACACAAGAATTCTTTGTACTTTCGGGGGCATCATTTTACCATAAGCCCAAAACCATTTCAAACTAAAAAGTTTTGGTACAAAGGTCAGTGGGTGATACACACCGGAGCGTAACAATCTGAGCAAGAGGAAGCAGCCTTTCCTCATGAGAACGACACCCTCCTGCCGTGGAGCTGCAGGGTGCCGTGGCGCTAACCCACCCCAGGCCCCCCGGGGGCCCAAAGGGTGCACACGAGGCCTGCTACCCTCCCCGCTCCCCGCTGGGATGCCAGCCTGCTGCAGCTACCACATCCCGTCCCTGCCTCTCTGTCCCCGCAGGCTCCATGATGATTAAGCTGTGCGATGTGATTCACACCACTGCCCACCCTCACACCCCCGGTCACCCTGGGAGGCAGGGGAGGGCAGGCCTGGCAGGGCTGATGCAGCAGATGCCTGGTGAGGGCCTGCTGGACAGACGCACCGAGGTGCCGGCCCCAGGAAAGCACAACGCAGAGCACACCCACAACTGGCGGGGGACGGAACAGAACTCAGTGCTATCCTAGGTGACCACCAAGAAATCTAAGTTCACCAGGAGTCACACCAGTACCACTGAGGGAAGAACAGCCCAGCTAACCCCAGTCCTGCTGGGGACAGAGTGCTGGGTTCTAACACTCGATTTCCCCTTCAGTCGGCTTGTAGGGAGAGCAGCCCCACATCCAAAGGGAACAAACAGCTCTAAAAACTGTGGCTTTTCTTGGGCTCGCATGAAGAAAGGGCCAATAATCTCTTCTTTCCGTTGGCCATCCAGGAGTGAAGTCTTGACGCCCAGCGGTCATTCTCCCCTTTCCTCCCTACAGCGTGTGGCCCGATCCCCATGACCAGAGCGCGGTGGTGGTCTCGTCCAAGGCCCTGCACCCTGTGTGTGCTAGGATGCCAGGGGAAGTGGGCCAGGCTGCCCCGGAAGGGAACTGGGAGAGAGCCCGGGGGCCCAACAACCCTTGACGATACTACCTGGAGACCAGCTCCAAAACGCCAGGCAGCCTACAGATGATTCCCTTGGTCCCATCCCTTCAATTTGTTTTCTTCCGGAAAGTGAAACAACCACATTCATGTTTTATAAGGTGTAACTGGCCGTTTCCACTCCAATGCCCCACCCGGTGGCCCGGCTCCCACTCCGGGCAGCTTCTCCCCAGCATCCTCAGCTTCCTTTGTGGGCCACACTGACCGGGCCCAACGTTCCAAGACACTGGAGACTGAGGAGGGCAAAAGGCAAACTTAACTCTGACCTCTACGTGGGTTGCTCTTTTCTCCAAAATTAAGAAATTCATTGCAAGGACGTTATAAAACAGGGAGATTGAAAAATTAGCCCGCGATACCATATATCAACTTATCCCATAAATCTGATTTTTCCAAATCCCCTTCCAGTCTTTGTCCAGATGCATAACTTTTCTGTAAGGACAAGCACAGCCACGGTGCCGTGTTGAGTTCAGCCTCTGCACTTGGCACAGAATCGTTAGCGCTTTTCCAGGGAGCCGCATGATCTCCGCAACGGTTTTTCATAGCTGGGGTAGGATTCCACTGGGCAGTATACTAATTTACAGTCGATCGGACTTGTTATAAAGGAATGGCAGCCGAGTTCCCTCTCCCGTCGTCGGGGTGTTCCTTATAGGGGTGAGGAGGACGTGCTGAAACCTGGACTCCGCAGGCAGGGCCCCAACACCACAACAATTCAACAACGGACCTGCATTCCATTCACCAAAAGGCATCTCCAGGGCCCGGGGTGGCAGCAAGTCTCAACCTGACGCTCTAAGACAAAGGGAGTAGAGGACTGCGCCATCAGAAGGGGCTGGTTCAGGATCTCCCAGAACACCAGCCTCTCTGACAAGTGCCGTCAGGACCGTGGTGAGCAGGCTGGTGGCGGGGTGACTGCATGGCATACAGAGAGCCCCCCTCCCCATTACATGGTTTACGGCTTTGCTCTGCGAGTGAAGCATTAATTAAAGAGGGACCTCAACAAGTTTTTGAAAATTTATTCTTACCTACTGTACTTTGATCATAATGACATGAAACAGGAAAAAAATAATTTTTATGTGGCTCACATTTATGAGTTTTTACATAAAGGCTTTTGTGGGTATTTTAAGAATGTGCTAAAATGTTGTCTGAAACCACATAAAGCCATCTGAGGAGTCGCCGGCCAGAACTAACAGCACACACATGGAAGCACTTTAACTGGCCTTTGTATATTTAATGAGTCAAATAGCATTAATATTGTTTAAATGCTAACATGCCATTTCAATAAGGCGGCTCTACCATCCCCAGCGCCCCGCTCTTGGGCCTTGCACGTCAATGTGAATGATCAAATGGGGCCCAGGACTGAGAGTGGGCTACGGGGGAAGCGACCGGCCCTACCCGGGGCTCTGCCAGCGCTTGATCATTTCAAAAGCCCCAGCCATCCAGGGAGGGAGGCAGGCAGGGAGGGAGGCAGGGAGGACAGGCCCAGCACCGACTGCCACAACACTGCCGTACGAGGCAAGGCCCGGAGCTCCTGCAGTGAACTCTCTGGTCAAGTGGGCAGCTCAGAGAACTTTAAAACACAGAGGCCCAAAGACAAGAGCACAGGCTTTTTTTAGGCCTGAAACCCAGCCAGTGAAGAGGGTGAATGATCTGTGAGCTGGACAACACAGGCACAGAATGCAGGGAGACTGGAGAAGCCCGCTGGAAAGTCCTGACCCATGAGGCAGTGGGGCCTCGGGAAGCTCCAGAACACCAGCAGGGGGAGAACAGCAGACCGGAGTCAGAGACTGTGCTGGTCTCACTGAAGAGCAAACGCCTTCAGCCACACACCACAGGGTTCCACACACAGTCTCGGGGCTTCCAGGACTTTCCCAGTAAGGGTGAACATTTTCTTTCTTTCTGGGTTTTTTAATTTTAATTTATTTGTTTAAATATTTTTTAAAGTAAACTACTCCCAACGTGGGGCCCAAACTCACGACACAGAGATCAAGCACAGCGGGCTCCAATGACAGGAGTCAGCCAGGCACCGAGGGTGAACATTTCCTACAGCACATGGAATGGCCGAGAAGTCAGACAGCTAGCCCTAAGCAGGTGGGGCTGCTGTGCGTTGGCTCCCTAAGTCAGGCCGTCTGAAAACTAGTACTCAATTACAACAGGCGGACGCGGGTCTCGTAAACTCCAGAAGGCCGGGGCCCCAGAGGACACCTCTGTCCTGGATGAGCCAGGAGCACGCAGCATGACTGGCAGCTGGGCTACTCTGTACCAGCCAATTACAACGAAGCATCCGGTCAAGTTTACGCTCTATCATCCGATCCCTGAATGTGGACCAACTAAAAGGACAACGTGCCAGTTAGTTCTCCTGTCCTCAAGAGTTCAGCATCGCTTCTCCCGGAAAAGGACTCCTGCTCTTGAATCATGTCACAGTCACGGATACGGATTCTGTGTCCTTTAACTCTTCAACCGCAGGACCTCCGAGGGTGGGGGTTGGGGGGGGTGA